TCGATTATCAGTAAGTGATAATCGATTAGCACACGTCTCTGATCTTAGAAATCAGTAACATGGTCTTTGATTGAACAACAAATGTTTTGTCATTTAGGAACAAACTTGGTCACATCCCATTCCTACTATATACGGACGAAATTCCCATGTTATTATTCAACAAAATCCATGACTTTTACAATGCAAAACAAAACTTAATCCCTCATCCATGTGCCTGCCCAAAAAGTCTCTGATTGAATAGTAATATCTTGTCCTATTATTCACTAAAAGTCAAGCCATGTTGTTTCCTTTATTCTCCCACTCTAAGGACGAAAATCATGCATAATGCCACCCAAAATACATGCCAAATCCCTGATCATTAGCCTTGAATTCAACTCATTTGGGATATTAACACATGCACAACATTTGTTTTGTTTTCTAGGAATGAAGTGGGAAGTTTCCTTGTATTTTCTTTATCATGTAATCGTGTTTGTTGTATTGTTTCTCCATTCCATGGCCTATATATTTCAGCCCTGGTTTTTTGTATTAGTCAGCTTGTAAAATATATTGTGATAATATAAGTTTCTTGCTCAGTTCTCTCTCTAACTTCTATATATAAAATCCTAATTCTATATCTTAAGAGTGGCTCTCTTAAGTGGGAGTTTTAGGTTCTAGATATATTAAATAAGTTGAGTGATTCCTTATTTAAATACTAGAGTTTAACCCGAGTGAAGATAAGTGTGTGTGATTCCTCTTATTATTCACTTGATAAATGCTTCTTTCCCTCTCATTTGTTTCCTCCTTAATTCAGCCTCCCCTATATTTCTACATCCTTCTCTTCTTCTTCCTCTTCTTAAGTTTATATCCTAGACCACCGCGGGTCTCGGGTACAACATTTGGTAGCAGAGCTTGTTGTTGAACATCTCTTTGAGGACCACAAAACACTTCCCTCTCTCCCTCTTTCTTTCCTAATCTTGATCCTGAAAGCCTTAATAATTGATTTTCAAACATTGATAATCGACTATCTCACGTCTCTGAACGTTGGAATTTAAAGTTGTTTCCTCTTGTTTGCATTTCCCTTCTTACTTTCCTCTCCCAAAACCCCTACGCCAAACCAAACAGCCCTATCTCCACCTCAGCCAAACAAACCACACCTCTTTTCCCTAAACCTTCTTTTAAACCACGTCTCACACAACTCAAAACATGTCCCAAGAAGAGCTTATTGCTTCAAATGCAGAATTGAAGGCTCAAGTTGAATACTTGGCAAAAGAAGTGGCAAAGCTCACTAAATTCAAGTTGAGTATGGTTCAAACTCCCGAAGAAAGTGAAGATGAAGATGATGCTAGTTCTGTTGCTACCATAAGAGCTAGAACCCCGGAGAAGTCAGCCTCTGAGTTCAAAGTTGACATGCCCACTTTCGAAGGAAAGAACGATCCTGATGACTTTCTTGAATGGTTAGAGACCGTTGGACGAGTATTTGACTTCAAGGATGTCTCCGAAGAGAAGAAGGTCAAACTCGTGGCCTTAAAGTTCAGAAAGTATGCGTCAACATGGTGGACCAACGTCACCATTATGCGTAGGAGAGAAAACAAGTCCCCGGTTACCTTGTGGACCAAGATGCGAACAGTCTTGAAGAAGAAGTTTCTGCCCGAGAACTACATACGAGAAAACTTTGCTAAGCTTCAACACTTGAGGCAAGGTTCTCGTTCTGCAGAGGAATACAACCGAGAGTTCGAGGAACTCTTATTAAGGTGTGATCTACAAGAAGATGACTCGCAAACTTTTGTGAGGTATCTATTTGGATTGAATGTCCAAATAGCTAACACTGTGGAACTACAAGACTACCACACTCTTGACGATCTTACAAAGTTGACTCTCAAAGTTGAAAGCCAAATCAAGAAAGGAAAGGCTGCCCAAATGAGAATCTCCTCTTCAAATCCACCTTTGCTCCCCACCCCTTCATCTCCTTCACCTCCCCCGGCCCCCTCCTCTCACCATAAACCCATACTTCCAATCCCTCGCTCAAATATCCAAAATCAACCTCGGCACAATCAAAATATCAACCGAACTCCAAAATGTTATCGTTGCCAAGGGAATGGTCACATAGCTCAAGATTGTCCCAATAAGAAGGTCATGACTCTTGTGGAGTGCAATGATGATACTTTTGACCCTTCATGGGATAAAGAAGAAGAAGAGTATGTCGGACCAGATGATGGAGAGCTTTTGGTCATTCGTAGAACTCTAACTGCAATGACCTGTCCAAAAGAAGAAATACAACGAGAGAATATATTTCATACTCATTGTACAATCCAAGAAAAGGTGTGCTCTCTCATCATTGATAGTGGGAGTTGTACAAATGTTGCTTCTTAGACTATGGTAGATAAACTCCACCTGAAAACTTCACCACACCCGACACCATATACGATTCAATGGCTGAATCATGGTAAAGGGTTACCTGTTGACACTCAATGCTTGGTGTCACTAAGTCTTGGACAAACCTACAAGGATGACATATGGTGCGATGTGATACCGATGGATGCTTGTCATGTGCTGCTCGGACGACCTTGGTTGTTCAATCGTAGGGTTCTTTACGATGGATACGCTAACACGTATTCATTCCTCAAAGACAAGAAGAGAATCACCCTGGCTCCTCTTCATCCTGAAAAAAATCTCCCGTTCATTTGTCAACTTTGATACAAGCCGGTAAATCGGAATACATAAATGTAAATCGTCGTGAGACGATAAAATGGCTCAAATCAGGGGTTAATGCTTAAGTGTTATAATCTTTATTGGGTTGAATTCATTCCTTTTAACAATCAAAAAGCCCAACCCATAACACTTGCTGCCCAAAACCCCCCCTAAGCCAAACCATAACCCACAAACCCTCTCCCACAACATCCAAAATCATTTCTTCTGTCCAAAATAAAGTCTTTGCTATTCATTACAGAGCCTAGGCCGAAGGTGAACAACAAAAGGAAAAATAAAACCTTAGTTTGTTTTTCTTTTAAAGTCATGATAATCGATTATCCAACATAGATAATCGACTATTGATTCCCTTTGATTCCTCTTTGCAAAACCAACAATCTCCAACAATCGATTATATATGAAGTAGTAATCGATTATCTTGGTCCTATGAAAAATACCCAGTTTTGTGCAAACCCTTGTTAATCGATTGTTCCTAAGTGTTAATCGACTATTGGGCGTTTCTGAACATTCTTGGTTTGGAAGACATAACTTGTTAGTATAAGTGATAATCAATTAGCACACGTCTCTGAACTTAGAAATCAGTAACATGGTCTTTGATTGAACAGCAAATGCTTTGTCATTTAGGAACAAACTTGGCCACATCTCATTCCTACTATATATGGACGAAATTCCCATGTTATTATTCAACAAAATCAGAGACTTTTACAATGCAAAACAAAACTTAATCCCTCATCCATGTGCCTGCCCAAAAAGTCTCTGATTGAATAATAATATCTTGTCCTATTCTTCACTAAAAGTCAAGCCATGTTGTTTCCTTTATTCTCCCACTCTAAGGACGAAAATCATACATAATGCCACCCAAAATACATTCCAAATCCCTGATCATTAGCCTTGAATTCAACTCATTTGGGATATTAATACATGCACAACATTTGTTTTGTTTTGTAGGAAAGAAGTGGGAAGTTTCCTTTGTTGTATTTTCTTTATCATGTAGTCATGTTTGTTGTATTGTTTCTCCATTCCATGGCCGATATATTTCAGCCCTGGTTCTTTGTATTAGTCAGCTTGTAAAATGTATTGTGATAATATAAGTTTCTTGCTCAGTTCTTTCTCTAACTTCTATATATAAAATCCTAATTCTATATCTTAAGAGTGGCTCTCTTAAGTGGGAGTTTTAGGTTCTACATATAATATATAAGTTGAGTGATTCCTTATTTAAATACTAGAGTTTAACCCGAGTGAAGATAAGTGTGTGTGATTCCTCTTATTATTCACTTGATAAATGCTTCTTTCCCACTTCTTTGTTTCCTCCTGAATTCAGCCTCCCCTATATTTCTACCTCCTTCTCTTCTTCTTCCTCTTCTTAAGTTTATATTCTAGACCACCGCGGGTCTCGGGTACAACATTGTACATGTATGCTCTATGTGCTTTGGGTCGTGTTGTTAGTGTTAGTGTGTGTACTTGTCTCTGTGCTCTTACTTTGTCCAATGTGCTACTGCTGTGTTGGGCCGGGGGTCTCTTTGAAGTAGCCTCTCTACTCTCGGCCCTGGGGTAGGGATAAAGTCTGGGTACACACACCTTCCCCAGACCGTACTATGAGATTGCATTACCTTTGTTTCTTTATTAGATGGTCTAAAGTTGTATTTATGTTGGCGTGATCAATTTCTGTTGGTTGTCAGGATCTCTTTTCAATGATTATACAAGATATAAGTTTTTCCCCACAAGGTCATATTTTGTTTATTCTAAAGTACAATATGGGACTTGTGCATATGTTTCAAGCCTTACCCTAGTTATGAGTGTTGAGTTTGAGTCTTTGAGTTGAGCCTATCAAGACATAGTAGTATCCTATCTCTATATTCAAATATTTATGGGAACTTTTAACCGAAGGATTCATATCACTTACTCCATATATAAGATTACTTTCAAGCGATAAAATGAGGTATTTAGTGCTGCATCAGTAAAAATTGCAAAAATACTTTATTGTGGTTGGGCTGTTATGGGAGATCATGGCCACGTTTGCATTGAGAATTTGACTTTTTTTACCCCACGAATAACTTCTTCTGGTAGGGCGGTTACCGGGGATCATGGTCATGTTTGCATACGTTTGTGATAATTCGTTGCCAATTTGTGTGTTTATTTTTTAAAAGTTGAACTGTTTAGAAACCCAAAACTAGTTGCTTATTATTAATCTGGATTCTCTGTTGGCTCAAAATTTTAATACTCCGTACTACTTATTTCTTCTGAGCTCTTGTAGCCGAAATCTTCCCCATTAAAATTATCTTGAAATAATTTAGGGCTTATTTTGTATGTTTCAGATTCCTTCTGAACCTGTCGACATTAAATATGTGTTACTTTTATATGAGGCTGAGGAATTCTGCAACCTTGTCTTGAATGGGTATCTCCTGGATCATGCTTCCAATGTCCAGAGCCTTTATCCATTGCATCAGATCTGTTATCTCACAAACAAGCTTATGGCTTACATTAATAAAAGGTATTTTTGTACTTGTTACCCTATCAGTTTTAACTAATTATAATTCTATTTAAATACTACCTCCGTCCCAGTGTATTTGTCCAGTTTGACTTTTTCGAGTCAAACTGGACAAACTTTGAACTCCAATTACTCTTAATTTATATTGCATTTTAACATAATGAAATAAAATTTTGAAAGCTCTCAATATGATAAATCCAATAAAGTCATTTTTATGTTAAAATATATTACGGTTTTTATTTAATTGAAGCTCAAAATTTGTCCAGTTTGACTCGAAAAAGTCAAACTGGACAAATACACTGGGATGGAGGGAGTAATATATTCTGAGTTTGTACATCTGCCTCATTATGTATGGCATATCGGGTTTTTTTGTTTAACAAACATTGAGTGATACTTACTGGTTGCTTCTCCCAAGTCTGAAGTTATAAATGTACTTCATTAATGGATTTTCTTTTTTTGAGTGCTATCGGCTCTATTAGAATATACTTTGTCTGTCCATACATTCTTTCTCAACCTACTGAGTCACGGAGAGTCAATGCCCCCCCGGGTTGGGAGAGTCACAGTCATAGTCACCTAAATTGCAGTACGGGTACGCGGTACGGGTACGAAATTTTCCAGAGATGACAAATTCGGTACGAAGGGGGTAGGTTCATTTCGGTACGAAGCGGTACGATGTACCATGTATTCGGTACGGTGTACCAAAAGTCAAAACATAAGTAAACATCTTGAGTATTATGAGATTTATTATTTTTGCCAAAAGCCATTGAAAAAAGAGAGAAAAAATGGAAAGGAGAGGAATAGAGGTTGGGTTGTGAGTGGTGAGAGTGTGAGACAATACAAAAGCAGTGCTGAGTATATATATATATATATATATATATATACACATACATACATACATACATACATACATACATACATACATACATACATACATACATGCATACATACATATATATATATGGGATTGACTCCAGTGAGATGACATGTTGCCAAGCTCACCACACAACACTACAAAGCTCACCAATAGACAATGCAAAGCTCACCTGGAAATAAAGCAAAGCTCACCACTTTGAACACCAAAACTCAACTTTTTTTTTAAATTTTGAAAAATAAAAAATTAATAAAAAAATAAAATAACAACACCGGTCAACCACCGGTCAGAGGCGGTGCAGCGGCGGCGACCGGCAATCGGAGAGTGGAGGCGACCGGCGACAGAGGCCGGCGGCGGCCGCCGACCAGCGGCGTCCAGCGGCAGAGCGGCGGCTGGCGGCCGGCAACTGGCGGTGGCAGGCAGCAGTCAAAGGTACCGGTCAACGGTCAAAATCTAGTCAGCCCCCCTTCCTTTGATTTTTTTTCTAAAAAAATTCAAAGTGTTGAAAAAACATGGTGAGCTTTGCTTTATACTTTGGTGAGCATTGCGTCATCTGACCGTAGCATGTCATCTCACCATAAGGGGTCATCTCACTGGAGTCAACCCCTATATATACCCTATATATATATATATATATATATATATATATATATATATATATATATATATATATATATATCATAGTTGTGAATGGCGAGTGGCGGGCGAGAGGTTCTTTTTTATGGCGAGAAGCGTGGCGAGCGGCGGTCGGTCAAATGGCGAACATTATATATATTTATATACATATATATACATATACATATACAATTATACATATATTTATATACATATATATACATATACATATACAATTATACATATATATATATATACATATATATACATACATACATATACATACATACATACATACATACATACATACATACATACATACATATATATATATATATATATAGTTTAAGTCCAAACTTTTAGTCTTAACTTTGTATCAAACATAATTATCAAAGTAAGACATGAGTTATTGCTGTAAAACTATTATACAAAAAAATGAAAAAAATATATCTAAGTGTGAGTGTGACCTGTGAAGTGAGCTGTAAAGAAACAATAACCATTCAAAAAAAAAATAAGAAAACAAAAAAAAAGTCTGAATGACCTGCAAAGTGTGGAGTCTTACTTTCGCCGGCTTTGACTCTGCCTCTGCGCTGTTTAGACTCGAGAGAGAGACAGTTCACTGCGAAGAAGTGCGATGTTTGGACTCGCGAGAGAGACGAGGCTCTGCGCAGAGTCGGCGAGGAGAATTTCGATCGACGGCTAGAGGGCAGAGGCAGAGGCTCGGCAGTTGAATCGATGAAGTGTTTCGATCGAGTACTAATATAGGTCAGGTCAGCGCGTTTTTTAAAAAAAAAAGTCAAGAAAAACCCTTGACCTGCATTAAGCGTAGATAGCGAACGCCTTTCGCCACAGCGTTTGGCGTCCATGGCGACCGCCTATGGCGAGATTGGCGTAAAATGCCTCGCCAGGTCTGAAGATGGCGTCAGATGGTCGCCACAAAGCCATAGGCGCCTTAGGCGAGAATGGCGAGCGCCATTCTTAACTATGATATATATATATAGTTAGATGACACCTTACAGTGAGATGACATGCTTCGCTCAGATGACACAAAGCTCACCACTGACCACTGCAAAGCTCACCAAACTGTAAGGCAAAGTTCACCATATTTTTTCAACACTTTAAATTTTTTTTCAAAAAATAAAATCAAAGGAAGGGGTGCTGACTGCACTTTGACTGTTGACCGCCAGCATTGACCGCCGCCACCGGTCGCCAGCCGCCGCATGCAGCCACCGCTGGACTCCGGCCGCCGCTGCTGCTCCGCCTCCGTTGACCGGTGGTTGACCGGGGTTGTTATTGTATTTTTAATTAATTTTTATTTTTTAAAATTTAATAAAAAGGTGAGTTTTGGGGTTCAAAGTGGTGAGCTTTGCTTTATTTCAAGGTGAGCTTTGCATTGTCCATTGGTGAGCTTTGTAGTGTAGTGTGGTGAGCTTTGCGTCATCTGACCGAAGCATGTTATCTCACCGTAAGGTGTCATGTCACTGGAGTCAATCTCTATATATATATATATATATATATACACACACACATACATACATACATACATACATACATACATACATACATACATACATACATACATACATACATATATATATACATACTAGTATAATATTTAATTCTGAACTGAATTTGAATTAAATATTAAATGAGTTTTTTTAATAAGACATTGGAAAGTGGAATATACGTGGTTGGGAAGTCGGAAGTACTCAATTTACGTCAAGTCTGGTCTGGGAAAGAGAAAATCGCCAATTGGAAGAGGAGAAGTCGCCAATTGAACTGGTCGTTGTACCGCCGGCGATTGGTACTCCATTATTTCCGACTTGGTGTGCGGTGCCAAGAGGCTGGGGTCGCCGTACCAGCTCTATCTGGTACGTTGTACCACGTCAAAGGGTACGCCGTCGCGGCTACGATCGGATCGCCATCGAATTGCAATTGGTATGATTCGTACCAATACGGAAGTCCCGGCCTAGGGAGCAAATTCTGTGACTATGGTCACAGTAATGCTATTTGACCACAATGTCTTTGTCTTTTTACCAAGGGTTTTCCTATTTAGTTTAAAAGAGTGTTTTGTTTTGGTCTACCTATTCTTACATGCAGCAAACCATGGCGGTTACCATTGTTTGTCTACTCTTTTGAGATCTGGATGCACGCTTGACGTTTCCTGCCTTTATCAGTAGAGATATATCCTTCTCTATGGATTAAAGAAAAACATTTGGTGTTTATGCCATCAACCTGTTCTGCAGATTTCCTTTTCTTCTTAAATATATTAACTTAATGAGCACTAGAAAAACATGTTGGTTATTTACTTACTTAAATATTAGGGAACAATGCCAGTACAAGGACCCCGCCAATAGTTCTTGTTGGAAGCGCCCACCAATTGAGGAGGTTAGGAAAGCCATTGGTTCGCACATATGTCAGAAATATATATTTTTTCTTGTGGCTATACTGATGTTCCAATACACTTCTAAAGTGTCAAACTTTTTATTGCAGGTGTTGGCTAAATTAGCCACTCAGTTTGTGGGTGTGCATTCTAGACAGTGCATCGATGAAGCTGAGGTAGCAGAACATGTTCTGGGATTAACATGTAATCTTGCAATATGCCAATATAGGTACCTTGTTTCAGTTACATTTTAGGAACCTTTCAAAGTCTTGAATATGCTTTGGATCTCGCTAATTGTGCTCAATCGCCTTATATGTATTCCTTGTTCGTGTGGAAAGAAATAGGAAGATAATAAAGTTTCTATTTTTCCCCCTCTTGTCTGAACTTCAGTGATCTTAATCAGTTTTTTAGGGGAGATATCGAATTTACTTCTAAAATTCATCATTTGTTTTCAGGAAGAAGTTATCTCGACTATCAATAAATGCAAATGGATCCCTTGTTCCCAAGGATTGTGCTGACAAGGATCGGATAAAGAAAAGCACATGGTGAGTATTTTCAACATAGTAGGCATCAAAATCTCAAGTAAACTACATTGGATTTCAGATTATCAAAAGATGTCATCCCATACGAGCTAGCAAATAAATACTCCGCATGTTTTTTTGTTCATTTGTCAACGTCTGCCATCATTGCATCTGAATGCAGTCATTGCTTTATAATCATATTGTTAAATGGATAACCAAAGTTTAGACAGTGACAGCTTACCGATCCATATAACTTGCTGTGATTTTGCTCTGTTCATGCAGGTTGAAAGCACTGCTGGCGATTCCTAAGGTACAACCACGATTTGCCATCGCTATAGGGAAGAAGTACCCAACAATGAAATCTCTCTTGAAAGCATACATGAACCCAAATATATCTGTAAGTGTCAAAGTGTGTGTGTTTTCTTCCTTTTTTTTTAAAAAAAAATGAAGGGATGGGCTGCAGAACTGGCCTTGTGCAATAAGGCAGTGATTGTTTGCTGCCACGAATGATTTTCAGGTACATGAAAAGGAGTTTCTGCTATCGGATCTTAGAATAGAAGGTTTGCTTGGGGACAATAGAAGATTAGGAGAGATTTGCTCAAAGAGAGTGTACAGAATATTAATGGCCCAATCAGGAGGCCTCATAACCAATGATATTGAAAGCGGGGCTGATTTCTTTGGCCACCACCAACCAGTAGGCCTATATGACTTTGACGGTTAGGATGTTGCTGTAAATTCTGTAGCATTTGGTAAGTAATCAAGGAACCTACTACCACCTCACCCCATACAACAATCAACTGGTACAAGATATCTCAACGTTTAATAGTATAAAATGAGTTATCTGTCTCACCCTCTCTTCTAACTTTTGTAAATGACATTTTCATATCAAGAATGTGATTGGAAAGGGTGGGTGCGGACACCATTTCAACTTTTTCCAAAAGGAAAAGGAAATACTTGTGTGCCGACAAACATGACTGCTCTTATCACCAATAGTTTGTTTCTCCCGTATGGTAAAACGTCGAGCTTTTTAAATTTATTTTATTTAAAAATTGCTTCAAAAAATATGGAGTAGAAAAATAAAACATACTCCTTCGTCCTTGAGTATTTGTCTATTTTTTTGGTCAAAATTGGTGTTGACCTCAAATTAAATAAAAATGATATTCGATATTGATCCAAAAATAGCTTTATTAGATTTATTATACAAAATATTTTTAAAATATTATTTTATCTAATCAATATATTATATATTTTATTTAGTTATAGATCTAAGGTTGAAAATGGTTCGCAGAAAAAAGTTAAATTGGACAAAAATTCAGAGACGGAGGTAGTATTTGTTACTTTGTTAGAAATTATGCCAAAAAACTATAGAAAAAAAATGAGTCGGAAATTTTATTTTGTCAAAGAATCTATAAAAACACAAGTTGATGGGAAATAATACGTGGCTCGGCCCACATTTCCCAATTATTTATGAAAAAACGGTCAAACCAGGCCTGTTTAATAAAATGGAGGAATGAGAGAATATTCCTCCGTAGATGCTCCAGCTACTCCTATAAAAGGAGGGCACCCCCTCAATGTTAAGGGAAGCCATTCTTACATTCTTCTCCCTGCCCATTACATTTTCTCTCTAGAATTCTTGTATTTTCATTCTTGAAGAAGCTTTGAAGCTTCCATTAATGGCTTCTATGCCTAAATTATGTACCGTGTATACACCCCCGATATTAATAAAAATCCCCCGTTGGCAAGATACCGCCAAAAAAGGCCCGTGGTTTTCTCCCGATTTGGGTTTCCACGTCAAAATCCCCGTGTTTATATTTTGGTGTATTTTTAGACTAGTTTATCGTTTTAGCCAGGCTAAAAACGGTATACCGGTCGATAATTTACACCATCATTTTGGCGCCGACCGTGGGACCCGATGGAAAGGCTATGTTATGCTCTTCCTATTCTTGCTACCTTTGAAAAATGGTGATGATGTACTCTATTCCCCCACGGCAGCAAAAAAAATGAGAAAAAACCAATTATGATTCCAAACATGAGTCAGTGGCTTGATTTCTTATCGCCATTTTGCCAAATCAACAACCACCTTGCTGCAAATCCACCATCACCACCGCAGACTAGCTCTCGTTGTCACCGCCGTCACCGTCGATTGCTGCCTTCACCGTCCGTCGTCACCGTGGCTCAGGTCTTATCGGGGACTGGCCCGTTGAGGAGCCGGCGGTAGCCCCTACAAAATCCATGGAAACCGCCGCCAGAGTCTACTCTCACCGCCGCGGGTCACCTACTGCAGTGGCAGCCCCTAGAGTCTATTGCTACCAGTCGAAAATGGGAGAAAAAACTACAACGTCGCTACCGCTGAAGCAGATCACCGTCGAAGCCATTGCTCTTTGTCACACCGCCGAGGTAAATTAAATGACAAAGGCCGATTCGGATGACAAACATCGGCTAAAACCGGAGAGCCTATCTCTTGGGCGAAGAACAAGTCAGAGCCGGAGAAATGCAGTTTTGGGACAAAAACAAAACGAAGGAAAAACGCCGGAACAAAGTAGACCAACCATCAGACCACGCCGACGGAACAGAGACACCGAAATCAGTTCTCGGAAAAAAAAAATACACCGCCGAGCAGACAAAAAATCAGCGGACAAAGAAATCCAGATCAGCAGAGCCGCACGGACGAACCTTCCTCACGGAAAATAAGGCACGCAGACCGCCACTCATTACTACCATCGATCTGCGGCAGTTAAGTCGTGGCGCACCTGCTGGAGACTAAAAGTTTGTGGTTTCCATGTTCCAGCTATATCTGTAGCACTGAAGGCCTCGCCTACGGAGTTGTACACCATGCAAGTCCACCGCCCATTGAACGTCGTTGGAGAAACAGGTCACTAGAGTTTCCATGTGGCATGTTCTTTCCAATAGTGAGATCCAGAAAATAAGTTTGAGATGGAGAGAGGAATCCAATGTTTGAGATGGATGAAGATGAGTTGATTTGTCATGACAACAGGAAATGGATATGTGAGGTGACCTCCACTTCGGTCCATTATTTTGTGACTTTTGGGCCCACCACTAAGAAAGGGCATGGGAAAGCACAAAAAAAGTGAGGCTCACGAGTCATGGGAAGCAAGAATAGGAAGCCACATGGTGGGACCATTTATGATTCCTCCAAGCATTATATATCTCTACAATATACAAAAACAAGTCACTCCATTGCGAAAGGAAGAATCCAAGAAGGCTCACTTATTCTCACTTATTCTCACGGCACATCAATTAATCATTTTGGTAAGAGAGGTGCATTGAATATTGCGGAGGAGGAACTAAGTTCCCCACTTATTCCTCATTCGGGCCCACCACTAACATTTGGTGGAATGGGTTAGCATTATGGAGTAATAATTTGGGCATTTACACATGCCTTATGGACGAATTCGGAGGGAAGACTGAGACACAAGTCGAGCTTGGTACGCTGGTTACAACACCGGTCTTGCTCAGTATTTAAAAAAAAAAGAGGAAGACTGAGACACAGGCCCGGCCTGGCAAGCTGGTTACTACACCGGTCTTGCTCAGTATAATAAAAAATATTAAAATATGTGACACAGGCCCGGGCTGGCACGCTGGTAAATATCATTCTTGTGCGCGAGACAGGCCAAGAATGATATACACACCGGTCTTGCACATATTTTCTTGTAAGTCTGACCCCAATCGAATTGGGTACACCGGTGGCTCAGCTGAGCCCTTATCGGGGACGCCCTATTCTTCAGGCCCTTTGAACAAGGCACTCCGGAAGTGGTCTCTACATGACATGAAGATATTTGCATCAGTTAGCCGGGCTAACATCGATCTTCGACAAAGTTGCTGCAACGTACTTAATTCGTATTAAGTAACATCGATTACTTCGATATACTAATTTCGCTATGTATCGTTTACTTAATCCGTACTAACACCGGTCTCGACGAAATAACTGCTTGAAGCACCGCCGCTTCATCGTACTAACTCCGGTGTCGTATAAGTACTCGAAGCATCGTTGCTTTATCGAACTGACATCACTCTTGTTACGATAATTATTCACGCGAATTTTAACCACCCTAACACCGAGCTCCTCGGTAAAGATAATAATTTTTTGAGCACGGTATAGGCTGGTCAAAAAAAAATGTTGTACATATTATTTTTGCAGGAAAAACTTCTGATTCAAGAAATTAGAGAAATAATGAAGACTCGGAGGACTAGCAATAATATCAACCGATCAAGAATCCAAAGTACGAAGACTGAAGATAGCACTCGGAGGACTTATTTACTTTTTTAAGTTGATGATTCTCACAACTTAAAAAAGTGGAGGACTTCTTGATGGGAAATAATACGTGGCTCGGCCCACATTTCCCAATTATTTATGAAGAACGGTCAAACCAGGCCTGTTTAATAAAATGGAGGAATAAGAGAATATTCCTCCGTAGATGCTCCAGCTACTCCTATAAAAGGAGGGCACCCCCTCAATGTTAAGGGAAGCCATTCTTACATTCTTCTCCCTGCCCATTACATTTTCTCTCTAGAATTCTTGTATTTTCATTCTTGAAGAAGCTTTGAAGCTTCCATTAATGGCTTCTATGCCTAAATTATGTACCGTGTATACACCCCCGATATTAATAAAAATCCCCCGTTGGCAAGGTACCGCCAAAAAAGGCCCGTGGTTTTCTCCCGATTTGGGTTTCCACGTCAAAATCTCCGTGTTCATATTTTGGTGTATTTTTAGACTAGTTTAGCGTTTTAGCCGGGCTAAAAACGGTATATCGGTCGATAATTTACACCATCACAGGTAAATAAAGGTTAACGTGATATTGAAATACAGAGTAGCAATGACTTGCTCGAATAGCCTAGAGGGTTATTTAACATAGGAGGCTTCAGGTCTAGAAAATAAATGAATTCTTTGAATAGCTTGAACAGTTCTGTCTAGTTCATTTCAGTCCTGTCTGGATTGGTTAGGTGATATCCCGTTGAATTCGGCCAATCCCCCCGGGTGCGTATGGTATACGGAATTGATGGAATTGGAATTGATTTGAAATTAAAATTTTATTAGGGTCCGTTTGGTACAAGGAATTGATGGAATTGGAATTGAATTGGAATTAAAATTCTATGGGATTCAATTCCATAGAATTGAATTCACCAATTCCAATTCATTTTTTGCACTACCAATTCCAAATCCACATAATTTTTGTGCTACCAAACACGAGAATTGGAATTGATGTCCTCAATTCCAATTTCACAGTTTAAATTCCGTGTACCAAACGGGGCCTTAGATTCAATTCCATAGAATTGAATTCACTCATTCCAATTCTATTTTTGCACTATTAATTCCAAATCCACATAATTTTTGTGCTACCAAACACCAGAATTGGAATTGAAGTCCTCAATTCCAATTCTATAGTTTGAATTCCATGTACCAAACGGGGCCTAAAGGTTAAATTTTTAGACTTCTAGCCAATTCGGTTCCCACCCAGAGAGTTTGGGAAGGGAAATGTTCCGTTGACATACATAATGGCCATAAATTTACTATTTGAAAATGAAAATTTAAATCATATTCCGTATATAGTAAGTTTGTAAAGTTTGTGAGCACTCTGTGAACCTAACATTACTTGTTTCGGAATTGTTGAAAAAAACTAAATTGGGGTATATTAGGGGTGGACAGAAGTTGAAATAAAAATATTCCTTCCGTCCCAAATTATAATGCATATTCACTATTCACAGGATCAAACTTCATTCACTTTCTTTCACTATTTTTGTTAGCAATTTGCTAAAATAAAGTACTATGGTCACTACTAGTTTTATAGATCT